AGAACCATGAGGTTACGTGGAAAATATATGTCACCATTCAACTACCAATCAATTTTTTTAACCTCTATCCATTCATGATATCGAACAAACACACCAATAGTGATAGACTATGAACTCTGATAGTGTGTTCAACAGTTTTATCGATCAGTGATAAACTTAAAGACTTTTCAGATGCCTATTATTATTTTTATTATTAGTCCCTTGGGTTCCTAATGAAACAAAGGGCTTCAGTACCACGTCTCCAGTGAACTCTGTTCTCTGAAATCTTTTGAACCTGGCTCCACGACAGCCCACAACCTCTCATTTCCTCCTCGTACGACCTCCTCCATGTCACCCTCACCTCGGACGCCCAACTCGTCGCTTCCCATGGGGATTTCACTCAACCAACTGGCCTGACAGGTGATGTCCTCAGTCGGTCTTCTCAGTGTATGCCCAATCTATCTCCACTTCCTTCCACCGCATATTTTTTGAGCGATAGCTTCTTGGTTGGTTCGTTCCCAGAGCTCCTTGTTGCTTATTCTGACTATTCTGGCCATCTGATCTTCAGTAGCGAGCCAGCGTAAGCAGTTATTGATGAATGTCTGTAGTTTATTGGAAATGCCTTTCGTGACGCGCCAAGTCTCTGAACCATACAGAAGCACTGACTTGACGTTGGTGTTGAAAATCCGGATCTTGTTCACGCTTTGTGCTGAGTGCAGAAGATCTCCATACTGGTTTCAGGCTAATGAACACCTGTCTTGCTTTTCCGATTCTGACTTTGACATCCTCGTCCGTCCCGCCTGTAGTTGAAACAGTGCTTCCTAGATAAGTGAAGGAGGTTACTTCCTTTAGGTTTCTCCCATTGATGGTGACTGCAGTTTGTTGTTGCTGGTGGTGGTGCGGTATCTTCATCACTTCTGTCTTCTCTATATTCACCTGAAGTTCCGTCTTCGCTGCCTTGCCCCTTCTGTCAACTTGTTAGTTTTCGCCTGTAGATCTTCAAGTTTGTGTGATATCAGGTACAAGTTATCACTGGCGAAATCCAGATCTTCTAGGTTCTTTTCCGCTGTCCAGCCAGCCTATCCCCCTCTTCTCACAGCTCCCCACTGTTTGCTGCATGATCCAGTCGACCACAATCTGGAATATCATAGATGATAGTGGGCAACCTTGTTTCACTCCTACCTGTCTTCACTTCAAAATCATCACTGAGCTCCCCATTGTGAATTACTTGGTATGTGGCATCTTCATATAGTTGTTGAATGAGGCTGATAACGGTTTGTGGTATTCCGTAGTATTGAATCAGTTTCCAAATTACTTGTCGGTCGACGCTGTCGAAGGCCTTCTCAAAGTTGATGAAGTTGAGGTACAAGTATGGATGACTGCCATTTTATACTCTTTTTAAAGATGATGCGAAGCGTTGCAATTTAGTACGCACATGATTTGTACTTCCTAAAGCCTGCCTGTCTTGATCGTAGTTTTGAATCCAGTGCCTTCTTTAGCCTCTCCAGGATGATGCGGCCTAATATTTTGCTTGCTTTGGGTGGAGAGGAGAGTGGTTCCGCGCCAGTTCTTGTAAATACTGAGGTCTCCCTTCTTCAGGAGCTTTTTCAGATGTTTAGAAGAATGTAAAAATAATCAAAATATTATTAGTATATGTGAAAATTTGTCTAACCACTTCTTATCATTAGTTTATTAAGCTAATTGCTTTTAGCCCGATAAATTGTGTGTGAAAATTTCTAAGTTTTGGCTTTTGATTACAATTCTGTCATTTAATATGTACATACTTCATTGATCAATTGATAGCTAAGAATTATATACACATCTAAAGGGAAGATATTATTTTGTAATGATTAACAAATTATATATAAAGTGCTAAATACCTGCAAAGATAACATTAGCTAACTAGCTATCCTACTGTGCTAAGAAGGTATGCATAAAGTACTAATCTTTTTAGTTCAAACACAACAGTACCGTACAATATAAGTTTAACAATAACTGATAAAAATTTTAAGCTATGTGTTAACTAACACTAACTGAATACCACTTCCTTGATGCATTTCATTAACAAATAGCGGAATAGAATCGATTTTTAAGGAAATTGTAGTTTAAAAATACCACCAAAGATTTATCTTTTAGTTATGCATATTATCGTATCTCAAATTAGAAATAAAATTTAATTACTATGAGAAATTTTTTTCGTTTTTTTGCACTACAGATTTTTGTCATTTTTTTCAATGTTCAAGTTATCACTTTGTTAGTTTTCTTTCTATTTTACTGAATTAATTTAATGAGGAATGAGGAAGAAAATGCTTTTCATATTAAATAAGTTCATAATCATGAACTGCTACTTTCTGAAGCTATGAAAATAAGCAAGAAGGTATCGGTCTCATATCCTGCTGATTATGTTGCAAAATGGTCAACAAAATTCTATCAGCTCTTAAGATTCTATTACATAAGGTTGGTTACCTTCCATTAACCAATCACTGTACTTAATCTAGTTCTGTAGGAAGTTAGTAGTGTCCTAAGTAGATCAGTGATAACACCTCTGTCCACAATTTTGGGTGATGTGGGTTTTTAATTTCAAGTGTGACACCTATCTCATAAGCTTTGGAGCATATTTCATTTGAAATATTTTAGTGGAATATAATTTATAAAATATTGAGTAACCGAAAATCAAGTTAGGATTGTAAAAACTCAGACAAGAATCCACTGCAAAGACAGTTCTGAATATGAGACTTTGAAAATAGGCAGAGCATAATTGCAATTACTTTCTAAGTTTGTGTGAGCGAATACAGATGATATGGAATTTGATCATGAACTGACATGAGTGAAGAAATATTGTAACATTGGATAGCTGGCATTAGATGGTAGTCAAGCTATATCGAGATATGGACGACAGATTTCGACCCAGTGGTTCAGTGGTAACATGGTGGCCTTAGAACCTTAAGATCCTGGGTTCTATCCCTGTTGGGATCATGGGTGTGAACTGCTGAGAAGTCTCTTACTAGAATGAAACAGCTGCATCGCGTTCTGTTTCCCAAAAATTCTCCAGCTGATATCAATTCATGATGAACACTAATCTGAAATCAAACAATGAATCTCCACAAATCTTCAAACTGAAGACCAAAAGTCTCAGAGTTCTTTGAGACAAACTTAAGTGAGCAGCATTTGTGAATCAAGTCTAACCAAGAGAAACAAAATATCAATCTGTAAAAATCGATATGAAAATCTAAAAAACATTCATACTTATTAGATGAAATTACAATCTATGGCATTATAAGTATTTATGAGGATAGTGGATAGTAGCGGAATCCAGAACGAGCGTTTTGCTGTATTTGGTCCTTGGTTCGAGTTTCAGTGGGAACAATATCATTTACTGTGACCCAGGTACAATCGGCTGATGAGTCTCAGATAGGACGAAATGGTCGTCTTGGATTTTGCCGCTGACCATTATCCATCTTTAATTTCTAAACTGAAAATCCTGACAATATCGTAGTAATCACATAGGTGCCCATATGACAATAGTGGTTGATCAGTTCGGTCCAAACAACAACAACGGAGACTTACAAACTATAACATAGAAATTATAAACATCTTGCCTGTGTTTATAAGACGATTACTTTGGCTAGCTAACTCAAAGGTCCTTTTGTCTTTGTATGTTACTTTCATGAGGTCAGGAGAAGTCTTCATGAAAACTTGTGGTTAATCTTTGAAGTAGTAACATCAAGAAAAGAAGGGAGTTTTATTTCTGTTTTTTTCCTACCCGGTGAATGAATCAATACCACATCTTTTCTGCGAAGCATCTCCTGATTCCCTGTTAGATATTATGATGAATATGAAGTAACGATTTGTCACCAGGGCATAGTAATTATTGAAAGGGAAATTAATTTGAGTGTTTATTGGTACACACCCACAGGAAGGATATCCCTTTTAGTAAACTGAAAAATAAATTAACTGAGACCACTACTTATTTCTACCTGCAATTCTTAGAATAACTCTGTGTATGTAGTTCAGTCCTAAAGGAGGTCAGTCGGGGCCGGAGTAGCTCAGCGATACCGTTGCTGACTACAACATTCGATCACGCAGGTTTAAATCTCATAGAGGACATCAGTTCTCTGACGAGTGGCAACAAGCATGAAACCTAGGTCAAATAGGCCTTTCTGCTGACTGCTTCCAACCAGTTAAAATCTTGGAATCATATTTCTCTATCAGAAACTCATTCCTCAGCAAGTGAAGGATAAACTGAAGCATTAGGTCACATCAGTATATGTGGATCAGTATAACTGAACCTATGTAGCCGTGTAAATTGGCTGAACCATTCTCCAACTTGTAAAACGCACCTGCAAACACTTCTCAAACTGACTGACTAAAAGAGAATGGAAGTGCATCTTCAGCTCTTTACCTTAACACTTTCTAAAGTTAGAACAGTTGGTTTCTTTTGTTAAGTTCTAAGAGAATGATTCCATCGGAAAGAAAAAAAAATTTCTTCTTCATTGCAATCATCTCCGTTTTCGTATGATCAAAAGGGTTTGTTCTACCATAATTATTATTACTATGTTTACCATTAACCAAGAAATTATGGCTGAAAGAGGTTGAGCATATATAACAGATTCCTTTTCAAGGAAATTAAATTCAAATGAGTGTATAACCAAAGTTATGATTGAAAAGTAAAGACAAAAACAACTGATTCTAGGGTAATGATTTAAAGTGAAATGAAGATCTAGGCTGTGGAAAGATTCGAATCAGAGACCTCACAGTTTTCAGCCTAGTGCTCTATCAACTAAGAGACAAAATTTAGCTGAAGACTAAATCTTAAATTTCTCTTCAATTATTAGTTTTATCATTTGCATGAAATGTAAACTAGTGGGATCTTTTCTATAATTAGTAAAACACGGTTATGTCACATCCATTAGGAGGCTACATAAACCAAAGAAAATAAATAGAAATGTAATACTTTCAAATCTGTAAATGTTATACAATAACTGAAAACAGTTAAAATGCACAATAGTATAAGAACTTACATCCTGAACTGTCGGTCATCCGTGATTCTCTGTTCGTACTTGGTTTTACTAAATAAAATCAAGTTGAAAATACAGAAATGTAATCAATGGATTTCTAGTTAAACAGAAGAACAAAGATGAAAATTTTGTATAATGTTAAAAGTGGGTTATTATTGGTATCCACCCGTTCAAATTGTGTTTAACCAATAGACTACAGTATCATATAATGATGTTAGAGATTGAAACAGGATCCAGATTTAGTGCAAAATATCCTCTGATCTACATGTTATTACATTTTTTCTGTACAGTGCAAAAACTTAGATTTGTTTATTTCATTCGAAAAGCATTTTTTTTTCACCATGAAGAAGTGAAAACCACAGTTTTCTATAGAAACTTAATAGTTATCGTGTAAAATAAACGAAGTTGTAGAAATTCTCTCAAAATCAATAGTGATCACTGAAGTTGCTACTAACATGCTAGTTTATTTGTTAGTTATTAACAAGACTTACATACTTTTATATTTACTGAGACTTTATGAGATTATCAATCTATCAACTTCAAGGAAGTTTGTATCACGAATATGGAAAATATGGAAAGCTGGATGAAATTGAACAGTTGTTCTGTACACGTTTGAAACTCTTTAGCAGTGCACATCCATGAATTTATGGAGATCATATCCAGGAGTAACAGACTTTGTAGCAAGCACTTTGTCAACCAATCACTTTGTAGAAATCCAATACATTCTTCGAAATCAATCATTTCTTATAAATCAAGTAACTGACTGGTAATCCAATTCTCTTGATTCACTTACTTCAAAATGAACTCTTCAGGTTTCTAGTGACATATAGAAACCTTTAGCTTCAAATAATTTGGGTTAGAGGACAAAGCTTCTCCTATAGCATTGGATACTGATCGCTTTATATGATCTACTGAAAAATGTTAGTGAGCGTCGGCCATTGAGAAATCAAACCTGACGACTGAGTGATGACCTCTTCACCACAAGTTCTGATGCTTCTGAATTAGATCCCAAATTACATTGTTGGTGTACACTCCTGAGTCCTTACAAATTTGGGCGCAATAGTCCTTTGGTGCTCCATGTTTCAATATTTCTCTGGTTTACGTCAAACCAAAGTGAATGTTCCTTCAAAATCAATTATTTCTTCAAAACTTACGAAATTGATAGTGTACTAATCATCCGACGTTTGGATGATGGATATTTCTTCTTCAAATCTACCAAATAAGCCAGGACATATTCTAGATATCTGGATACCTGATGAAATTGATGAGAAAGTTCAGAATAAGCCACTTTGAATTTAATCCACTGATCGAATAACGTCTAATGACGTTAACTGGTAGTTTCAGACACTACATACTATTTCCTGGTAGACATCATATAGTTTAAAGAAGACTGATGGTATGTTCCTAAAGGAAACTTGTCATCCATAATTGTAGCATAATTGTTTTTATATCATACCGTCGTTTCTTGGACCGAGTTGACCGGTCTCTATTGTCACATGGGCTTCTGTGCGGGTGCCTCGACATTGCCTGCGTTCTAAGCATGGACATCCAGCTGACGAGTCCCAAATAGCACGAAATGCGCATCCTGGATTCTGCTGCTAGCCGCGATCCGTCAATAATAGTCTTAATTGTGTTGTTTCATACTAACAATGTAGGTTAAAGTTCTACTTATGTTTGTTGATCATGAGATTTGGCCTAGAAACCAGTCAACGTTCTATTCGTAAACTCAAACTGGAAAAAGAAGTTACTAACGAATTCAATATCATAAATCCTGGTTATAGTAAACACTTTCTATTTGACTAAGAAGAAACCCTCTTGTATGAAATTGTTTGTGTCCCCTCAAGCGATCCATTGATACTTGTATTTCCCTGTTGATATATTGAATCTAAGTGACAGAACTGTATCAGCGTGCGGGTTCACCTGCAAGTGTAACAGGTAGTGAGGTCAAGCCTCTGTAGAATCATCATCAGTTACTAGGATCCAGATGAATGTAGATGATGAATTCCAAAAAGGACGAAATGCGCACCCTAAGTTTCAACACTACCCATTACAAAGTAAGTCATACTAGTATGATTATTTGCCAGTGAGAAACTTTAGAATTTATTCTTATTCTGTTAAGAAATAATACTGTTTCCATTCGACTTTTTCTAACAAATCATCTGAACTTTTTTTCAATAGTATTGTCTCAAGTGGTACGACGTGTATTATTTATATGGTAGAAGTAATAATTTTCTCTAGACTATTTGAAAATTTATCGATAATCTCTTCAGGCGTATATTGATGCACTTCTTTAACTTATTCTAAGCATATCTCTAGCTACACATATTCATGTAGATTTACACAAAGAAGGTTTTACTTATCAATATCAATCTTTGATAAGCAGTTTGATGAATCATACTGTCTACTGCTCTCAGTTTCCTATAAAAGTTAATGTAGTTCTTGACTAAGAAGTCGTCAAAAGTAAATTTTTCGTTAAACTTACTTTTTCTGGTTTTTCGCCTGACAACTCTCACTTCAGTTTCTCCTTCTGCACGAATGTTTTCTTCAAATTCGGTTACTGTAGCGTTTTGATTTAAATCTGTATATGATCTTGTGCGTGAAGTCACATGTTGAACTTCACCAGTGACTGGATCAATTCGAGTAGATGTTGTAGTACCATTACCGAATTGAGTAGACGATTGTGTTTTCGAAGGTATTCGACTAACGATAGGTGAGGCAGAACGACCACTCATTCTCATGATTGGAGATCTAAGTGGACGTGGTGGGAGACCAGTTTGTCTTGTTTGATGACGTGAAATTTCCTCATCATTTATTTGTTTAATAGTCATATTTCTTTCTAGAACTGGACTACAAGGTGAACTACGTATCATTCGAGAAAATGGTGGCTGTTCAAAAGTTGATTTAGTGTTATATTCATTCATTTTATTTTCGAAATGATTTTCATTTTTCTCCTTCATCCATCTGGATTCATGATCTGAAAACTGACTTCCAGCAACTTTTACCTGTGATGCATCATTTAATTTACTAGGTAGGTTAACAAGATTTACTCTTTCAACTATTGGATTTATCATTTTTGTCGATGGTGAAAGTGGTGCTAGCTTGTGTGATGAATAATCTACGAGATTCTGGTGATTTGGTGAAGCACTTAAACAACGTATCGTATCATTTTTGTTTTTGAACAACTCCGTTTTCATATCTAAAATGAATCAAAAGATGTAAATTAATTTTGGAAATTCTCCTCATTTTTGGACATACTAAAAATCTTTAAAAAGTGAACGGAGGTATTTGTAAGGGTAATTTCCGGATAAAAGAACTTCAGAATTGGAAGTGATGCTATTAAGTTTACTCGTAGACGGCGATTTGTCGGTTATTTCAATCTCAAAACGTCGTACACAAAATCCTTCGTTGTCGTTTGCATTGTCAGCTAATTAATATCTGATCATGACCAGTTTAAGATAATACCCCTTATTCAAGTAGTTTTTCATGTAGTCAATCAATCTATTCCCTACATACATTTCAGTAAGAACCTTCTAGTGGTTTTCTATAGATTTGAAAACCACAGTTGAATTAGAACTGTGGTGCTAAGACAGTGCACAGTGTTTACAGGTTATATGGATCAGTTTGTAGACGATTCGTTCTTTAATATCATGCAACTTGCAAAATGATGCGCATATAACTAGAAGGCAAGAATCTAACCAGGTGTTGGCAATATCCAGGCTGTCCATTCTGAGAACTCTCACCATACTTTTCTGTCTAAATCAACACATCCAGATCTGCTGGACAACATAAACGATGTCATGACTGTATGTCTGAAAAATGGTTGATTTCAACCAATAGGCAGCGGTACACTTCGTGTAACATAAAACGCGTTTTAGAGAGCTTCAATAGATAATGAAGATGATCAAGTAAGAAGTAAGTAACCAATCAACTTTCCTTATTTCGTTCATATAAAAAAGACATTTTAATTGGTTATTTCAGTGTTTGCTAGGATGGTCTTGAGAAATACTCTTCTCAATTACCAATGCTTATTTGAATGTGAATCATTACTACCCACGAATGTTTCTTGTTACTTAAGGGTAACATTCTTAAAATCTCCGCACAAGAGTTTTTTTTTTACAACTAACGTAGGCATTAATTTTTGACACTTGTAATTAACCTTTGTTATATCGGATAGAAGTGATCAACCGCTATATGGATGTATCGGTATTGCTTGAAGATTCATTGTGTTATGGTTCGCTTGGCAGTGGCTACCAGTGGTTTCCAATCTTCACGTTCCATCAGCCTATTTGAGAATTGTCAGCTGACTGTATTTGCATTCCACTGAATGATGGTGTACCCGCCTAGACTGGAATCCAGAACTCATCGCTTCGAATTCCCATGAGTTTTTGATTCCATTGATAATCATCATCAAGCAAATTACAATACAATGAAACTTTAGGTAATGCCGAGACATCTGCATAGAAGCCTAAAATCCGACAAATATTGATTGATTCAACTCAGTAATACAATGTAGAATTAAGTTTTGATAGACAATAACTGATGATACCTGTTTCACAGGTGAAGGCCTTTGAAGAGATAGTGTTAGGTTTCAGTTCCATAAGGAACAATATCCCTCACTGTGACGCTGGCGCATAAAATTGACGAGTCCCGAATAAGATGAGACGCAAATCTTGGAATCACTACTAACAACCACTAGGTATATAATAAGATACTTATTGCTTACCACAACATCTACCATATCTCCTCAATAGTCGTTAACCAATGACTCCATAGTCTTCTTAAATTCTACATTATGACATAAAGGTGGGGATTCCAGGTAAGAGACAAGTAGTAGTTTTTGTACAGATGAACAAGTACAAGTCTCCGAAAATAAAAATGTGGTAATCAAAGACAGTAAAGAAGATCTTGCTTTAGTCGTAAAAGCTTGCCAAATAAATCAGTAGTTCAGAAAAGCCAAAGGGTATATGAAATCATTTACAATTTTTACTGACATTTTAACACATCAAACTGTCACTGGTGGACATAGAAAACCAACATGTATGTTTGTGTAGATTATACTGGAGTCCTACTGTTTTATGATGTTTTTTACGGTGTGACTCAGACTGAATAACTGTAAACTTTGTGGTGGAATGTAGCAGAATGCAACGGACAAGCTTCATACTATCTAAAAGTCTTTGATAGGATTTGTTTATACCTCAGTGACTGATATTGTTCACACAGCGTGAGTATACCTGTCATCCAGTCAACCACTTTAGTTCAAAAGAGTAAAATAAAACATAATAACAAAATGTGTGCGATATCAATTCATATTAGTTGTACAAAAAGTGTCACAGGCGATTCACTAGCCCGTAGACCAAATTTTCAGCGTTTGAAGCCATTAGTGTATCTTAATTTGGAGGTTTGTGGGAATTTATTTACCGATTTCCAATTAGTGTTCACTGTAAACTGACATCATTTGCAGAATCATTGGAAATCTGGGAACACTTTGCAGCTGTTTCATCATAGTATGAAGTTTCTCGACAGTGTCCATCAAGAACCCCAAGTGGGATGGAAACCACCACCTACAGGCTGAGGCCACCAAGTTGCCAGTGAGCCATTGGGTTGGAATCTAATGGCCTAAATTTACTGTTTCTGTCAGTTTATGATGTAGTGCGACGTCCATCCAATGCCATCTTTGCATAACTGTCCTCACATCTAACCGTTTATGACTTCTCACTGGGACTTTGGGAATCTCATCTAGAAGTAAGTCACTAATGAACGCTAATTGAGATCTTAGCCACTAATGTGCAGGGATATCAACTTAGTTAGTCTTTTAAACAAAAGAAAGTTTCCTCTGGATTTCACTGTTAATCATAAAGTAACATTGAAATAGAAAGCATGGTAAAATGAAGATGACTACATATGAAAAGTTATAGGCCAGTTTATTCGACTCAGGTAAATACTCAAAGGTTATAAGTTGAAAACTATTTTGGCTAGATTTGACAGCACTTAGGACTGGACAACATGAAATGGGTCACCTTCCTGTGACCAGTCAATGTATTTAATCCAGTCGTACCCATGAAGCACTAGGTAACATTAGTTCAAACATTAGGGAGGACATCAGTTCCTTAAACGTTGCAAATTTGCACTGGGGACGAGTTCTAACAATCACAAAACGTAGGTGTAGGACTTCTTGAAAACTGTTTTCAATTAAATAAATTTTTACGGCGTTTTTGAAGCGAGAACTTTATATCCTACGGTTATAGATGGTTAACAAACATAGTGATTGTTTATGCGCAAAGCTTTTAAAGGGTGCTTTATGGATACACCTGTGCCTATGCCATTTATCGATACCCAGTACTTTATAGTTTAAAGTAATTATCGTGAAAATGGATTTCGAGATTTGTTACCTGTTAAAAGTCTTCTCAAAAATCTATCCTGACTTCTCTTACCTCAGATATGATTCCCTGGACTTAATGTCATAGTTTATAACATCATATCTACGATCAATAGGTTGCCGCTGATCAATTGCACAAACGGATAATGTACTTAGGTGTAGAATTCTACTGTGCAGAAGACTTCACTATTTACTTGAACCTTTCGCTTCCAAGTGTGACCACGCAGAAATACTACAAAATACATTCTAAACTGTTTTACGGATAACTCATCTTTGATCTACATAAAATCCAATAAGCTTACGTATCGAAATATATTATTTAAAAGATACAACTTCACAGGAGCTGCCATATGTAGGTAAATGATGTCTCTATTGTGAATTGAAGTCTACCACTAGATGACTTGACAGCAGAGTACACTGTATTTGGCGTTAGATACATTTATAGGTAATATTTTTGTCACACACGTTCTTTGGCAGTGAAAACAGAATCAAAAGGATGAAAAAAGAGTGATATTAAAGTAGACAAAGTTGTGTTAGACAATAAACAATTTGGAGATAATGATTGCAAATATTCAAGCTTTAGAAGACGTCAAGGAGTGAATAATTCTGAGCCATTGTAACCGATTTTCAGCCATTTCACCAAGAGTCATCACCCACTGACTCCTTTCGTTTTGAGGCCCTTAACCAGGTAATCTATGTCTCCCCACATTGCTCAGGTCAACAGTGAGTGACTTCATAGACTGGTACCGTGCCTTCGTCTGGTCACCCTGAACCCTTTTCGAACTTAGAATTGGACATCGAGTTAGGTGGTGGCTGGGCATGCGGAGTACGCATCCAAACCATTCAAGTACTCTTCGCTTGACCTCAACACTCCTCATGCGGTGATTCCACCAAACGCGAGCAATGCTACGAAAAACCTCTGGCAGGCTCGTGAGTGCACACTGTTGAGGAGTCCCGTACTGGGAAGAAACATCTGTCTAGTGCTCCCAGGTATCCAATATTCCTTTGACTGATGTCAGTCCATGATGAATACCAACTTATCAACTTTCAATGGCCTTGTCTCACAGCCGTATAACAGGACAGAACGAACTTCAGCATAGTATTCTCATCCTTTGATACACAGTCAGATATAGAATACCTTTACCAGATATTAAAGTCCATAACGATCATTTACTTTCTACCACAAAAATATCAACAGACATTTTTGCCTAACCAGTAAATCATTCATTCACCGTCAAGAAACGAAGTGATTCTGTCAAAAGAGTAGTAAAGTTCAATGCTCACTAGCGACTGGCTTTAAAATGGATTACCCAAAAATTTATTGATTATCTAGAAGTAGAAGTGGATAGCTGCCAGTCACTTCGGTTATCGGTAATATTGCATTTCCAATGAAAAATAATTACAGACTGTCAACTACTGTATTCCATTCCACTCAGTGGTAGAATAGTTACCAGGTGAACACTAGTCCCAATAGTAGTAAACTTGATTCAGTATAGTATTTGTTGTAAGATGTTCCTAGGATCTCTCGAAAATCTAACAAAAACATCTTGATGACTATCAGTTTTCGCCTAACTGATTTCAATCTATGCAGAGAATGACCTTGAAATATTTACTGACCTATTCAGTAACTAAGGCTTTCAGAATTCATTAGTTTTATGATGGTTTCAAATATTATCGATTAACAAAAAAGCAAACCATGAAACTTGAACAGATTACTCGCTTTCTTGGCACAATTTCCTGTTTTCTTTATTAAGGTTATGTATATATATTCTTACAGTATGAAATAAGATTGCCATAATCTGCATAAAAGGTTCTAAATG